CTTGTCATCGTTCACTCCAGCCAGCCAATTAAGGCAAGCCGGAGAAGAAGGAACGGTGACTTCTCCCTGGAGCACTCGGGATGATGGTAGCCCGCGGGATCGCTAATGCCCGTCACCTCACCTCAAGGTGCCCTGCGGGCTTATTATTATTATTATTATTAAATTCAACTTTAGGGTAACATTAGCTCGTAGTCAAAGTTACCCTGATTATCTTCAAAAACTTACATGATACTAATAAAACGTTTTTTTTGTGGAAAAAATTACGTAAAAAGTTATTTTCTTTGTTTCACACAACAGACTATTTATCAAATAACAATTAAAATGCAATCTTACCTTCCAAAATGCGGTTTTTCATATAACACAGTCAACTTTAAAACGACGTTTTCACACACACTTTTTCAAACGGAACGTTCAGCCGCCAATAAAAATAAAAACTGATAGCTATACCTAAGATTGACAACTAACATTACGTTCAGAAACTTATTGAAAAACAAAAACTAACTGACTTGCTTGGATAAAATACGTCTAGAAATTTAAAAATATTAATGATTAAATTATGAAGTGGAGAGCTAATGTTACATTGTAAGACAAAGTTACCCAGTCTGACTGTACATCGTCGAAATTTATCTGACGAAGTATGTCTGCCTCAATACACATTAATGCTAAAGAATTAAGCTTGTCTGGACGGATTTTTGTTCTTTGCGGGTTTTTTAAATCTTTTTAGTTGTGAGAAGGATCGTTCAGCAGAGCAGTTAGTAATCATTAAACTGTCAAACACCAAGCGGTCACCGGTGACCGCAACCTATTGTTCTATAATTGTGTCTGCAAAACCGGTACTCGACGAGTTAAGCTGTGAAAGATTCTGAACGCCACTTCTATATTTGGGAAAACGTACTTCACTTTATCTTTAATAATCATTTCATATAGATCGGAATGGGTAACCTTTGTTTCTGAAGATTCATATTTTATTCGAACATATTTTTGGAAATGATTAAATTCGCCGAGGAAGTTTTCATTGAAGTCTTCTGGGTAAGATTCTAAGAGCAATTGGATATCTTTTTCATATTCTGAACATGACTTATTTAGATCCGCAAGAAATGAAAACTTTTGTGAAATTTCGCGGTATACATCACCCCTTCTTTGAATTTGAGCATTAAGTGTGTCATTTATTACATTGAAAGTTTCAATGCGAAATTTGTCTCTAGGATTCAGAACAAGTTCCTCTGCATTTCCATAATTTACTTGTTTTTTCCTAATGCGTCTTCGAGTTTCCTTATATTCCCCATTAGGAAAAATTTTTCTTGCCTCGCCTTCAAATTTTTCAAATTGATTCCTCATTTCAACGATAAAGAATGATACAAATTGGAACACGTTTTAAGATCTAAGATCCTTCTTCTTGGAGTCCTTTACTAGTGCGATGAAAAACTTGTAGAATATCATTCCACAAAGTAAGCATAAATATAACCTCAAACTCTTGCATTTGGCTTGAAATATTTTGTGATTCTAACCTGGTCTCACCTTTTTGGTTTGTGTCCTCAGCAATTTCGTCTAAAGCATCCAAAATTTTCGGATAGGATTGTATATTGCACTCATAGCTACAGCATGAGCTTCCCAACGAGTGTCCGACAGCGACTTCAGAACGCTATCGTTGCCTATTAATTCTTTTAAAACTGCCCAACGATGAGTAGAAGACGAAAAAAAATTGTATAACGACTGCACAATTGAAAAAAAATTCACTGCGATCGTACAACAATCAACAGCACTGCGACCAATCAAGTTTAGAGTATGTGCAGCGCATGGTATAAATACAGCATATTTCTTATGCTCTAAAATTTTATGCTGCAGCCCTTTGTATCGTCCTGACATATTAGCAGCATTGTCATATGATTGTTCTCTGCACTTTGCAATATCTATTTTGCAACCCTCTAGATAACTGAGTACTATATTTGCCATCTCCTCTCCAGTATGACTTTTTAAATTTAAAAACGTCAGAAATCGTACCACGTGCATACCATCAGACGGCGATACGTATCTCAAAATAATACTTAGTTGATCCGTATGCGATAGGTCAGGCGTGGAGTCCACTGAGAGGCTGAAGTACCCAGCTGATTGTATTTCTTCGACAATCACTTTGTGAACTTTATCACTCATTAAATCGATAAGTTCGTCGCATACTGTTTTCGATAGATATGATGGGTTGTCTTTCCCTTTATTTCCATATCTTGCAATATGACTTGCTAAAAATGGATCAACAAAAATCGATGACATGGAAACGATCCGATGAACCGACGCCGAAGAAATTCAAAGTGTCGAGCTCAGCAGGGAAGGTTATGGCGTCTGTTTTTTGGGACGCTGAAGGAATAATCATGGTGGACTACTTGAAAAAGGGGGCCACTATTACAGGCTCCTACTATGCAGAACAAATAAGAAGATTGCGGGAAGCTATTAAGGAGAAAAGGCGAGGCAAACTGCGGTCTGGAATGCTGTTCCATCAAGACAACGCACCGGTTCACAAAGCTGCAATTGCCATGGCTGCCATTCAGGAAGCGGGCTTTGAACTGGTAGAACACCCCCCCTATTCACCAGATCTAACCCCCAGGGACTTCTATCTCTTTCCACGACTCAAGGAACACCTCCGGGGCAAGAAATTTGACGATGATAGCGACGTGATGGCCGCGGTTGAGGACTTTTTTGAGAGTCAAGATAAAGATTTTTTTTCTAAGGGAATTTTAGGTTTAGAAAAGAGATGGGACTAAATGTATAGACGTGCTAATCAAATCAAATCAAATGTCTTTATTTGCTGAACAGAGGTGTAGTACATAATTAGTGACTAAGGCGTTATTTATTTTTGTTACATATTGTATCTCTTTGTTCTACCCGTTGGGCATGCAAATGTTGGGTATGTGTCAACCATTGTACGTATGTGTCTACAAAACCGGTACTCAACGAGTTAATGAAATTCACAATCAGTCATTATATGTAGGTACGAGTCAAAATATCTTTTCACATTCATAAAGTAATCAAATAATTAGTCATAGAAATTATACATCAATAATCGACAAAAAAAGAAAAAAAAAAGATACAGAAAATATGTAAATCAAATAGTCATAAATTAGTTAAATTCAAATGTCAAAATCAATCAAATTGTAATAACAAATTTGTAAGGTTTTCACAGAAAAAAAGTATATGATGTCATTATAGTAGGTACAGTACGTAATTAACACCGTCAATTTACTCCACTACAAAAATTGTTTACTTTATTTTCCTGAGATAAAGTCTTGAACATTATAATAGCATTTATCTATCAAGAACCGATGTAGATATCTTTTAAATAAGTTTATGCTTAGATTTTTAATATCATTAGGTATTCTATTGTAGATGTTTGGAGCCATGCAGAAGACACTTTTGTGAAGTAGGGCTGTGTTTGCCCTGCGTATGCGTAACCTATTGCATGTAGCATTACGACTGTTACGAGTGACTGTGTCCGTCAAAGATTCAAAGAGCTCCGGATTCGACTTTATAAATATTGCACCTTCATAAATGTATAGCCAAGGTAGTGTCAGAATCTTATATTTTTTAAAACATGTCTCACAGCTGTCCCCCACTTCAAGATTAAACATTGCCCTTAGACACCGTTTCTGAGATTTAAAAACCATATCTCTATTTGTGGTGTTTCCCCAGAAAAGTATACCATACCTAAGATGTGATGCAGCCGAACCATGGTAGGCGGTAAGCAGGGCAGTGTGGTTAACCTTAGGCGCTAATTTAAGGAGGCATATGCTGCACTACTAATTTTTTGCATAACGTCTCTGTATGAGATTTCCAGTCCATTTTGCTATCGATAATATAATTAGTCCTAAAAATTTTGTTGAATTTTCGTGTATGATTTTATTATTATTATATTTAAAGTCCAAATTTGTATGATTTAGTCTTTGAGAAAATTGCAATATTTTAGTTTTACTTATATTAATTTTGAGATTATTGTTATCAAGCCAGTTTACTATACTTATTAGAGTAGTATTGATGTCATTTTCGTACAAATTTTTGTGCTAGGAGACTATGTTGAGAAAAAAAAATATTTTTTGATTTTATTCATTGTGTTTATTATTGATTATCATTACTTTTGGATCACCCCTAGTACACTATCATATGGATTGCACATGATCATGTATAGCCAAGACTTTTGCGTCATTGTCACTCATTTTTGGCTTCCAAAAACAACCACCAGTCTTGTTCATTTCGACTTCGTTTTACTTGTGAACGAAAATAGCCTGATGTTATAGAAAATGGTCACCCATCAATAACACAGTAAATGGCACATTATTACCTTGTTTTCTTTAATATTTCTTATTACACGCGCAACATCATCCTCCGTCACCATTCGGTTCTGTTCAGCATTGATGTACGCTAATTTCTGCAAAAAATACTTTACCTACTATAATATGTCGCAGACAACCTAACGGGTAACCGGGGCTTCGGCTCGACGTGCAGGAGGAGGAACGGGGAGGTTTTTAGTCAGGTACACTCCCTCCTGCCTCACCCAGGCGGAAGAAGACATTCGATGACTTTTCCCCCTTAAAAAAAAAGAAAACCTACTAAAATATTATATAATTGTATAATGTGCCAATTATAACCAGCATTCAGCAATATATCTAGACATAGACTATACTTACATTACTTTCTCTAACATCTTTGCAAGATTTTTGTTTCATGTTAGCATGCAATTATTTAGAGACAAGGGCCAATTAAAATCGCCTCCTTCCTCAAAAACGCCAAGAAAGGGATTCTATAAAAAGAAGGTAATGTTGATTACAATCAGCTGTTTATTTTCAAACTAACATAATTTGTTCACATTTTATTGCATATGTACCTACAATAAATTAGCAGACTAATATCACCTTGTGTATTCTCTATCAGTCAATTTAAGTACATATGTACATAATATAATTATTATGCAAGTGCGACTGCCGGTCAAGGGGTCTCGGGTTCGATTCCCGGGTCGGGCAGAGTATTACTGGGTTTTTCAAATTTATTAAAAAACGACATCAAAATTCTTACAAATGACCTAAAGAGAGAAGTCACAACTAATTTTGGCTCCATTCAAAAAATGTATGAAACGAAAATTGCAAAATTACAGAGGGAAAAGTACAGTAATGAAATTCCAATCTACAACAATATTAAGAAAGCGATTTACAGAAGCCGATATACAGCCCTGAAGGTAAAAAAATACGATTCAAGGATCCAGCTCAAGTTGTTATACCTGAAATTTTTCAAAAACATTTGTTATTTGATTATAACGAGGTCGGCAACAGGATCATCGTATTTGCATCAGACATAGCTTCGGATGAAATTAAAAATGTTCACCACTTCTTTTGTGACGGTACATTTGATTGCTGCCCCTGTCCCTTCAAACAGATCTATACTATCCACGGAGATATTGGAAATATTTCAGATGAAACCAACATTATGCCCATATTTTACGCACGCTGGTCAATAAAGAAAAAGAGACATATGAAATAATGTTCAATAAAATCAAAGAAGCTTTACCAGATTTCAAACCGATAAAATTCACATTAGATTTTGAAATGTCAGCAATAGTCGCAATAAATAACCAATTTCCGACTGCTAAAATTCATGGGTGTTTTGTACATTTCCAAAATGCTATATACAGGCGGGCAAAATCTCTCAATTTATTAGAGTATGAGGAAACCACACAGTACGTAAAACTGTGCATCTGCCTAGCGTATCTGCCAAAAGAAGATATTGAAGACGGTTGGCTTGCCATAATGGAAAACAGGTAGTTAAGTATTTTTTACACTTTATTAAAGCTTGTCTATTCCTTATATATTTTTACTGTTGCACAATCAATCGATTGATTATTATCTTTTCAGTATTCCGGACGACAAAGTAACTAAGTTCAATGATTATTTTGATGAACATTGGCTTCAGCCTGCGGATATGATCGCAAAGTGGTGCTGTTATAAGGAGAAACATAGAACCACTAATTTAGTAGAGGCCTGGAATAACCGTAATAATAATAATACTACCTACGCCATAATACTGCAAACTAAGAAGAAAATATTAAGAATGAAAATGACAGAATCAATAATTTTAAAAATAAATATACTAAAGCAAAACGATAAACAATGTTGACGAGAGCCAGAAGCAGACAAGACGCACCCCCACCACCTCCGGACTCGTCGCTCAGCTCCGCCTCGCCATCACCGGAACCCCGCTCCGCTGGATCGCCGGTGACTGCAGTTGCGTCGAGCTCGAGCGACGACTATTTCTCCCCACCTACGTCGCCACCACCTGTACGTCGGCCGGGGAGAGGCCGGCCACCGACTGGCTTGGGAACCAGGGGCCATCAGGCCCTGGGACGGGTCCCCGCTACCGGTGGTTGTGTGCGGCGCATGAAATGGTCTCAAACCATAAATGAGAACGTCATGCGCGCATACTACGGTGCTACAGAGGGAGGAACTAACCTCACGGCGTACCGCGAAAGGATGCTGTCTATGTTTCAGGTGCTTGAACCATCTGTCAACGTCTCGGCCCAACGACTGTCGGATCAAGTGCGGGTTATCCAACGCAATTGCAGATTGGATGAGGCTACACTTGATCGGCTACGCCTTGAAGCACTGCGCAACCGTGTCGTCCCCGCACCACCACAATTGGTGGCACAGACACCTGTAGTGTCACAATGTGTGACATCGACCACCCCTATCGTTGGAGTGGAGGACGATAGGGTTGAACAAGTGAGTACTCAGTGCAATGAACGTCTAAGGAGTGCTTTGGAGGATGCGGTTCGTGAGTACAGACTTGCTCCTAGTGATTTACGACCAAAATTACCACGTTTGCCCATGTGTAGGAAAAATAGGGCGCTGGTGAGCGCCTTGGATTCGCTACTTAAAAAATATTTTGAGAGTAGCGAAAACCTCTATGATACACACTCGATCTTGTACTGTGGGGCGGTTGCTGCTTGTCGAGTGGCTAACGTAAGATTCCCAAATCTTGACGCAGCAGTCCGACCAAAACCAGCAGTACCTGCCTGGCAGTATAGGATAGAGCGTCGTATCAGTGAGGCCAGGGTACTCATTGGCAAACTATCCTGCTTCAGGGAGGGCAATACTCGTCCTAGAGTGATGCGCTTTGTAAGACGTGCATTTGTGGGGACTGAAACCAGTCCTCATGAATACCTGTCACGTGTTACAGAGCGCATCGACTTCCTGAAGCAGAAAGTTTATGCATGGGCAAACCGTAT